CGCAACAGGTTTGAGGCCCTGGAGCTTGAGAGGCCAGTAGCTGAGGAAGAGGTAGAAAGTCTACCCAGGAGGATGCCAAGGGCGAGGAAGTCGATTCCACGCCTCAGGACTGCCTCCACCAGGACAGAAAGAAGGGTGATTGTTGTGGGCGGTCACAACAGTCAGGGGAACAGAGGGACCTATTTGTCAGCCTGACCCTACCCGTAGGGAAGTCTGCTGCCTCCCTGGGGCCAGGGTCAGGGACATTGCCAGAAAGCTTCCCAGCCTGGTTCGCCCCTCTATTATGCTCTTTTAATAGTCTAGGCTGGCAGTGATGACATTGAAGAGAGAAGCCTGAAGACCATCAAACGGGACTTTAGGGGACTGGGATGGTTAGTGGATGGAGCGGGAGTACAGGTGGTGTTTTCATCCATCCCTATGATGGCAGGGAGGGGTACAGACAGGACACGGAAAACCCACCTGATAAACACGTGGCTCAGAGGCTGGTGTCAACACAGAAATATATTTTTTTTTGACCATGGGGTGCTTTACTCGGCACCCGGCCTGATGGCGGCAGACGGGTCCCTATCTCTTAAGGGGAAAATGGATCCTCGGCCGGGAGCTGGCAGGGCTCATTGGGAGGGCTTTAAACTAGGTGATAAGGGGGACAGGGCTGAAACAAGGCTTGTTAGAGCTGTGCCAGGGGGAACAACGGCAAGGCTGGAAGAGAAAGCAATGGCCCAACTGAATTGCATCTACACTAATGCATGCAGCATAGGTAACAAACAGGATGAGGGAAGCCATCGTGCGGCTGGAAGGCTACGACTTGGTTGCCATCACAGAAACATAGTGGGACCACTCATGACTGGAGTGCTGCAATGCCTGGCTGTAGGCTCTTCAGAAGGGATGGGCAGCATGGAAGGGGTGGTGGTGTGGCTCTCTATATCAGAGAGAGTTTTGATGTCATGGAACTTGAGGCTGGGAATGATAAGGTTGAGTCCTTATGGGTTAGGATCAGCAGGAAGGCCAACAAGGCAAGCATCCTGCTGGGGGTCTGTTATAGGCTGCCGAACCAGGATGAGGAGACTGAGGAGGAGTTCTACAGGCAGCTGACAAAAGTTGCGAAATCATCAGCGCTTGTTCTTGTGGGGGACTTCAAGTTCCCAGATATATCCTGGAAGCACAACACAGTCCAGAGAAAGCAGTCTATGAGGTTTCTAGAGAGCGTGGAAGATTCAGTTTCCTGATGCAGCTGGTTAGTGAGCCTACCAGGGGGGTGCCCCGCTAGACCTTCTCTTCACAAACAGAAAAGGACTGGCGGGAGATGTGGTGGTTGGAAACTGTCTTGGGCAGAGTGACCATGAAATGGTAGAGTTCTCCGTTCCTGGAGAAGCCGGGAAGGGGAACAGAAAAACCGCTGTATTGGACTTCTGGAGGGCCGACTTTGAACCGTTCAGGACTCTGGTTGGGAGAGTTCCTTGGAAGGCGGTTCTGAAGGGCAGAGGAGTCCAGGAAGGCTGGGCGCTCTTCAAGAAGGAAATCTTAATGGCGCAGGAGCAGTCTGTCCCCACGTGCCCAAAGACGAGCCAGTGTGGAAGAAGAACGGCCTGGCTCAACAGAGAGTTGCAGCCTGAGCTTAGGAGAAAAAAGGGGGTTTACAATCTTTGGAAAAGAGGGTGGGCCACTGAGGAGGACTACAAGGATGTTGCGAAGCAGTGAAGGGACAAAATTAGAAAGGCCAAAGCTCATCTGGAGCTCAATCTGGTGACTGCCGTCAAAGACAACAAAAAATGTTTTTACAAATACATTAATGCAAAATGGAGGACTAAGGAGAATCTCCATCCTTTACTGGATGCGGGGGGGAACTTAGTTACGAAAGATGAGGAAAAGGCAGAGGTGCTTAATGCCTTCTATGCCTCAGTCTTTAGCGGCAAAACCAGTTGCTCTCTGGATACCCAGTACCCTGAGCTGGTGGAAGGGAATGGGGAGCAGAATGCAGCCCGCACTATCCATGAAGAAGTGGTTGGCGACCTGCTACGGCACTTGGATGTGCGCAAGTCGATGTGGCCAGATGGGACCCACCCAAGGATACTGAGAGAACTGGCAGAGGAGCTGGCCAAGCTGCTTACCATCATTTATCAACAGTCCTGGCTATAGGGGGAGGTCCCAGTCGACTGGCAGCTAGCAAATGTGACGCCCATCTACAAGAAGGTCCAGAGGGCAGACCTGGGAAACTATAGGCCTGTCAGTTTGACCTCAGTGCCAGGGAAGCTCATGGAGCAGATTATCTTGAGAGTCATCATGTGGCACTTACAGGGCAACCAGGTGATCAGGCACAGTCAGCATGGGTTTCTGAAAGGCAGGTCCTGCTTGACGAACCTGATCTCCTTCTATGACAAAGTGACATGCTTGGAGGATGAGGGAAAGGCTGTGGATGTGGTCTACCTTGACTTCAGCAAGGCTTTTGACACCGTTTCCCACAGCATTCTCCTCAATAAACTGTCTGCTCGTGGCTTGGACTGGCGTACACTTCGTCGCCCAAAGAGTCGTGGTGAATGGCGTCAAATCCAGTTGGAGGCCGGTCACTAGTGGTGTTCCCCAGGGCTCAGTACTGGGGCCGGTCCTCTTTAATATCTTTATCAATGATCTGGATGAGGGCATTGAGTGCACCCTCAGTAAGTTCACAGATGACACCAAATTAGGTGCTTGTGTCGATCTGCTTGAGGGTAGGAAGGTTCTGCAGGAGGATCTGGATAGGCTGCACCGATGGGCTGAGGTCAACTGCATGAAGTTCAACAAGGCCAGGTGCCGGGTCCTGCACCTGGGGTGCAATAACCCCAAGCAGAGCTACAGGCTGGGAGATGAGTGGTTGGAAAGCTGCCTGGCAGAGAACAACCTGGGAGTATTGGTTGATAGTTGGCTGAATATGAGCCAGCAATGTGCTCAGGTGGCCAAGAAGGCCAACAGCATCCTGGCTTGCGTAAGCAGCAGTGTGGCCAGCAAGTCTAGGGAAGTGATTGTCCCTCTGTACTCAGCTCTGGTGAGGCCGCACCTCGAGTACTGTGTTCAGTTTTGGGCCCCTCACTACAAGAAGGACATGGAGGTGCTCAAAAGAGCCCAGAGAAGGACGACAAAGCTGGTGAAGCGTCTGGAGAACAAGTCCTATGAGGAGCGGCTGAGGGAGCTGGGCTTGTTCAGCGCGGAGGAAAGGAGGCTCAGGGGCGACATTAATGTACTTTATAAGTACAGTAAAGGAGGCTGTAGAGAGGTGGGGGTTGGTCTGTTCTCCCACGTGCCTGGTGACAGGACGAGGGGGAATGGGCTAAAGTTGCACCAGGGGAGTTTTAGGTTGGATGTTAGGAAGAACTTTTTTTACTGAGAGGGTTGTTAGACATTGGAACAGGCTGCCCAGGGAAGTGGTGGAGTCACCCTCCCTGGAGGTCTTTAAAAGACGTTTAGATGTAGAGCTTAGTGATATGGTTTAGTGGAGGACTTGTTAGTGTTAGGTCAGAGGTTGGACTTGATGATCTTGAGGTCTCTTCCAACCTAGACAATTCTGTGATTATTAGATAAAGAATTACACAAACAATGATGGCATACTATTTTTCTATGCACTGGTTCACAAGCATATTTTTTAAAACTTACATATGAATAAATGTTCTGCATCAAAGCCTGGCATAAATAATGGTATCACAGCAAAGAACAATTAATATCCTTGTATCTTAATATCCCTTTATATTCTTCTTATATAATTTGCTCATAGACTGTAATAATATCTATTTTCCTTAGCAATCAATTTATATCACAAATATATATGAAAAAATCATTTTAAATGGTTTTCTACCTCATTAAGTTCTTCTTAATGAGTCTGGGGAAACAGCTTTAGAGTAAATGAACAGAAGGCATTTTAAATAAAATTAGCTGAGTTTAAATAAAAATAGCTCATACTTAACAATACCCTACAGCTAGCAAAAATGAGCTAGTTTATCCACTAACCACCTAGCGAGATTTCCTCTTCTTTCATAAAGGTTTGCTTTAGAACAAGCAACCCCAAAGAACCCTAATGCAAAAGAGAACGTTATTTTAAAATAACATTAGTTGAATATACCCCTATGTGTAACAATGGCTATCTAATGAGTGCACATTGCCCCTTGCTGTGTAAGTTAACTGCAATAATTTACTGGATGATTGAGGCCAGGTAATAAAATTCAGTTTCTTACTGATGTTATTAGGTTTTACCTTAAAATAAATAAATAAATATATTTTGAAAATAAAATCTTCAGTCTTAAAATGAATGCCGAGGAACTGCATCCTGCATCAGTCTGTCCTGACTTTGCTGGAGCTGGGGTTATTCGAAACCCGTGTGTGTCAGGATTCACATAGGGGAGGAAGGCAGAACTTCTGATTTGGCAGCTGTTTAGTGAATGTCACAATATGTAGCCAGAAATCTGAAGAATAGTAGAAAAAGCAGTTGCAATACCTTAGCTTTTCTAATTTGTTATGGATGCTCATTTCAGAATTATGCATTTTTCTTTGGGTCCTAATTCTGGACCCTACCTACACAGCCCCCTTTTGTATAACTGTGTTTTTTTCTGTTTCCTCTGCTCTGAAACAGCATTGCTGAAAACCAGAGTTCCAACGTGGGACCTCGACCAACTCAAATAAACATTATTTGTTTTTGAAGGACTGACAAGCAGTATTTAGATCGGTAATCCATGGTCTTTCGTTCTCATGCGGAAACTACACAGCATGCTAGTCTTACCCCAAGCACGCCACGTTCCCCCACAAGATAAGCAGATTTTTTAATTTAATTTTATTTTTTTATTTCTCATCCATTCAAACAAAACAACACGCAGCTTCCTGCGAGCTGTAGGGCACTGTTAGGCACGAGCCGCAATACTTGGTTCTCAAGCTGTACCCTTGCGTCCTCGCTACCTGTCCCCTCTTTAGAGAGCGCTGACAACCCGCAAGCCCCACTTTCCCTTTTGCAAAGCGCAGAGCACTCATTGACCCTCTCCGCAATTTTTAGCGATGCCCACGCTGCTTCCTCGCGAACGAGCAGCCCGAGGAGCCGCGACCCGAGCGCCGCGGGGCGGCGAGCGGCAGCCGCCCCTCGCCCTGCGGCAGGGCCCAGGCGTCGCTCACCCGGAAAAGGAACGGAGCCGCCGCTGGCGGGGCCCGCCGCCGCCCGGCCCCGGCTCCTCGCCCGGCCCCCGGGCCGCCCCCGCCCTCCCGCGGCGCTCCGCCGCCGGACGCCTCTCGCCGGGGGACGCCGGGCCCGAGATGGCGGCGGCGCGGCCGGTGCTGGCCCGAGCGGTGCTGCAGCAGTGCCTGTCCGCTCGGCTGCAGGTGCGGCCGCCCGAGAACGGCTCCGAGCCCGAGTGGGTGGAGGTAATGGGCTCGCAGGGCTCAGGGCTCGGCCCTTCCCCCGGCCGGCAGGGCGAGAGGGTGAGGCCGGCTGTGGAGGGGGCGCTCCAGGCAGATGTGCAATCCTCGTGGTAACGGCCCCGCAGCCTCACGAGGCTGGCGTTTTGTCTTCGTCTTCAAAACCCGTGTGTTGTTTCTGCGGAAATTCATCCCTCAGAGAGTTTCTGGGGTGTAAGCGAGCCCTGGGCGACAGGTGGCCCTACGGCACCCCTACGGGAGCTCCCTGGCCCAAGGAGGGAGAAAGGCAGCGAGGCGATCGGCTCTGAGGCAGGCGCGTTCTGCAGCGGAGCAGGGGATCGGACAGGCAGGGCTAATTCTTTCGGCACCGAGCCCACTCGAGGGAGCCGCCAGGACCTGGCAGCCCTCACGAGGGAGGTGAACGAGGCATAGGCGGAGCCAGCAGCGCGCCCTCATGAACTGCCCCTAGGGAGCGCGGGGACCAGGGCGGGCAAACAGGGCGTGGCGCGTCAGAAGGGAGTGGCGCGGCTGTTAACAAACGGGGCGTGGCGCAGCCATCAGCAAACGGGGCGTGGCCAGTCAGAAGGGCGTGGTGCTGCAAACAGGGCGTGGCGCAGCAGTTAGCAAATGGCATGGCAAGTCAGAAGGGTGTGGTGCGTCAGAAGGGCGTGGTGTGGCCATTAGCAAACAGGGCGTGGCGCAGCCGTTAGCAAATGGCGTGGCGCATCAGAAGGGTGTGGCGCAGCAGTTAGCAAACAGGGCGGGGCCCGTTAGAAGGGCGTTGCGTGGCAGTTAGAAAACAGGGCGTGGCCTGTCAGAAGGCTGTGGCGCGGCAGTTAGAAAACAGGGTGTGGTGCATCAGAAGGCCGTGGCATGGCAGATAGCAAACAGGGCGTGGCGCGGCAGTTAGCAAACGGCATGGAGCGTCAGAAGGGCGTGGCGCGGCAGTTAGAAAACAGGGCGTGGCGCATCAGAAGGGTGTGGCGCGGCCGTTAGTGAACAGGGCGTGGCGCGTCAGAAGCTAACTGTTTGCTAACTGCCAATCTAGACAATTCTGTGATTCTGTGAAAACTAGCGGGTTTTCTAGGGGGAAAACCATTCAACCGTTTAGCCTTTATGGTTTTCTAGAATAAGGGGGGGAAATGCTTACTAGTTGCTGTCATAGGCAAAATGGATTTAGCTTGGTAATTTGATAATTATCAAGTACTTACTTAGTAGTTTGGGTATTGGAAGGAGAAAAAAATGAACATCTAGACACACAGGAGGACATCCCTCCATGTTTTGCAGGCTAAATTTGACTTCACACACCTCACCCAGTCTCTGCTGCTGGGTCTTCTCCTACAACTGACAACTCCCTCGTGTTGTCTGCACAGGTTATGCTCAGTCCCTTCACAAGGGGCAAGGCAGCATGGGATCAGTTTCTCATACTGCTCGTTCTTGCTCTTTTCCTACACACCAGCATGGGGATCCCTTCAGGAGCATGGCTGCTCCATCACAGAGCACCTCCTATTCCTGTGTTGTTTGTGTTCCCTCGCTGGCATTTTCTGCCCTTTCTTAAATACACTCTCACAGAGGTGGGCTCAGGTGTGTCCTGCAGTGGGTCTGCTACGGAGCTGACTGTGTCTGGCCCATGACCTCCTCCTACAGCAAGGTGCCTGGTGGCTTTTCAGTGCCACTGTCTTCTCTGCAGCAGTGGTTGTTCCTCAAACCTCTCTCTTCTCCCTTCACCACCCAGGCCAAGAAAAATCAGAAAAAAAAAAAAAAGAAAAGAAAAGAAAAAGGCTTAATTTTAACGATAGGATAATGGAAGATTTTGGGGGTGTGTATCTCTTTTCAGAGAGATGTCTATATTTTTGTTTTTTTCAGGCAAAAAGTGGTTTTCAAATTCGTAATATGAGTAGTTTTATGAAATAAATAGTGCATCAGTATAATTTTGATAGCAAAATATCTTTTACAACAAAAGATCTAAAACTGCCTCTGAGTTTGTACCTCGTTAATTGTGTGATACTGTGCACTTAAAGAAGAAAGGCCAGGTAGAGCAATGTGACTGCAGTAGTAGTTGTTTGGATTTTTATTTTAATTTTTCCAGACCAGTAACCAAAAATTAAGCTCACGGGAAACACTGTAGTGTTCCCATTTTCTTCCCATGGTCATATGTTGGGGAAGGTAGGTAGGCCTCTAGACTCCTAGGGCTAGGCAGCATACGGAGTGGCCAGGCTATTTACCAAAGCATGAAGGCTGCCACTGGGGGTGTGTCCTGCTGTTGTCGCTGTTTATGCATTCCCTACACTAGAATAAATTATTTATATAGGTCTCAATCATTTAGCCTTTCTGTTTTTTTAGTTTGGTCTTTTGTCTTTCTTAAAGACTACTACAACAGAAGAGGCTAAATGTAGCAATTCATATATATCTTTTTTAAGGTAAAGATTGTAGTATGTTTAAAGGGCGTATGAGTTAATTCAACAAACCTGAAGAGAGTTGAAATACAAAATTTCCATTCTTAGGGCTTTCCACTGTATGACTTGCACATAGTTCTTGAAATGTTTCTCTCCTGGTTCAGAAGAGGATGATGGATCTTTGACCTACTTTGTACAGTCCGGTCTGGAAAGCCAGAACTTTTGCTTGAAGAAAGTATGTGTCATCTCACAGATGCCGTGTTTGGTTGAAGGCCTTATTAGCCTCTCAGTTTAAGGAATATAGTGAAGATTGCTCAGCACAGCATAAATTAACTTTAGAAATACACTATTTCTTGTTTGCTAATCTTGGAAATAATTGTAGATCTTGTAGGTAAAAGCGGAAAAGTCGTCGTGCTTGCTGTCTTTCCAGCTGTCCAAATAGAGGCATATGTTTTGTTTTTTTATATATCATGAATAAAACTGTTATGAGGCAGTAATTTATCAGCATAATTTAAACAGATTTATGCTGTTTATATCTCCTACTTCACGTTTTAAATGTCTTAACCAAAATCATTGGGAAAGTAATAGCATTGAAAAAAGTAACCACACTGAAGGAATGTGCATGAGATTTGGCCAGCGTGAGCTGCAGATATTTTTTAGACATGAAATTTAATAATATTTCTCATTGGTACTTATGAATCTTTCCCAGCTTTTAAAGAGAAATCTGTTGTAACAAGAGCTATGGAAACTTCATAGTTCCTTCAGTATGACTTCTTTAGAGGTCATTAAAGGGAATTGTTTCTCATACTTTCTTGTAGGATAATGCTACTCTCCATATATGTGCACAAGTGCCAAAATAAAGAAACACCTTGTAAACTATAATTTATGTAAACCAGTGTATGCTTAGTGACCTGTAACAACCTAAAAGTAGGTCCTGACCTTGAGCAACTTCTCATGTACTATAAATAGCACATTAGGCAGGTGGCTTTGAATAGCTTCTGAGCTTTAAAAGACCCCTGCAGGTACTTTATGAACATTAGAGTGAATGTTCTTTATCTGGAAGAATGCTAGGTGTGTACATTATATCTGTATTGCTCTTCATTATATTTTCATGATTGTATTTTTCTGACCTGCTGATGATTACCAGAGACAGGATGCCTTGTTTATGGAGAAATGTTGGTGAGATAGGATCCGTTAAATGTTTATGTATACAGAAAAATACTTTGGAGGAAAGAAAATGAACTCCCCTTCTAAACACTGGAGAAGAATGAGATGAGATTTGGAGCATTCCACAACTGTGGGAGAAAAGAAATGTAAAATGAATATTCAGCTAAAGAGTGTAAGTACCTACACTTACTGCAGTGAAACCCATCACGCCCATATCTTATTTCCCTGGTTTGTCTTCCGGTTAAGATACCAAACGGTGCAAAATACCAGGTGCAGGTTGTTCTGCAGCCCGTGGTAGATTATGCAATCTCTCTTTGATGCAGCAGAATGGATGAAATGTGAATAAAGCTTCTCTCGACAGGTAGTAACTCAACTTGAAATGGAAATGTCAAAGAATAATTCACGTAAGTTAGTTTTGCAAACTGGCTTTCTGTGGATTGCAAAGCACCTCTGTTTTCATTATCAATTGCATTACATTTTGCTGAAAAGCACGTTGAGATGACATTTTGCAGAATATATTTATGTTTTGCTAATGAAATCTTGCGAAAAACAGGTGAATGTTGCAGAAAACAGGAGGGCGGGGGGAGGTCTTAGTTACTTGTTGATCCTGCCAAAGAGCTAAAAAGGACGTCTGGAAGCTGCTGAGGTTGCTGAGGCTGGATGGATGGCCATAGGGGCTGGGTACTTCAGCCCTTCCTAAGGCAGGTTGCCTGGTCTGATGATTACTTGGGACAGTTGTATCGTAAATGCCTGTGCTGCAGAGTCACTTGCTTGGCTGGTTTATTTATGTAGGCATTTTACTGGTAACAGCAAATCCACACAGCACAATTTCCCAGCCCAACTGCCTGCCTGTCACTATGTAAGTTCTTTGTAGTGGTTGTTTGCTTATCAGCATGTTGGATTTGTAACCTTATAATTTGTGTTTTGCTTGACTTTAACGGAGTTAAATATAGCTTTGAAGAGCTGTCAGCTAGGCTTCATTAGGGAACAGCATTGTTACCTTCAGCATTGGCAATGGTTTTGCATTGGTTCAAAAGCTTTACCTGTACCTGTTCCTTAACTGGCAACATGTCTTAGATGTCTTAGAACATCTGAACCATCGGTGTAAGATCTGAGGACTGACATACATTAATGTTAGGTTAGCTCTTGAAATTGCATGCAGTTTTACATCTACTCAGTTAAGTAAAATTAAATAATTTAATATATATATATATATAACAGGAGGTTGAAATGCAGTTGAACATGTTGAAAATAATGTTCAACCACAGTTTACAATCACAGTTTAAACCATAAGTTTCAACTGTAACATGGTTGCAAAGTGTTCTAGAAATCATAAACATGCAATAGAAATAGAATCTCCTGTCTAATTGCTGTGAGACATTGAAACCAATGTGTCTCATTTTGTGATGAAAAGTATATTCAGAATCAGGCAGCAAATCATGAGAGAGGATGAAAAGTAATTAATGGTTCTAGCTATCTGGCTGTAGGACTTCTAAATGTCACTTTATTTACCTTTTTGTCTATTTAAATGAACTTCTTGCAGAATATTGTTACTTCCATATGTGAAACTGAACAGAAACTATCACAAATCTCAGAATAATCTGTGAGGTGTGCAGTGTAGCTTAGTCACTTATTTCTAATTCAGTGGTAAGATATATGCAAGGTAAATGTATTTTACCTACTTCATAAAGAATTTTTTATTAGTAGGTATGTGTGCATTATTATTCTTTATTAATATCTTGATGGTAGTCTGTTTCTGGAACTAATATTTAGCTAAACATATAAGACTATCTAACCTTTGGCAGCCTGTATTTCTCTCCTTAATTTGAAGAGAGAGTTTGAAATGCCATTTGAGGTTCAGGCCATCAAATTTCTTGCAGTGTTTATGAAATATGGCAATCATTTGGGAATGGAAAGCTGTATAATATTCTGCAGTAGTCGAAATGAGTTTTGAAAGGAGCCATTTATAGCTTTTGAGAGAATCTCTGTGTGTGACATTTCAGCTACAAAGAATATTCTCTTTTTCCAGAAGTTAGCAACTAGAAAAATAGTTAAGAAGGCATAGCTCTCATCAGTCATTGCCTTGAGCATTTTGTTCAATCTCCACACGAACAAAAGGATAAACCTCATGTGTATAGTTTTCCTTACCAAAAACCTTTATCTTTCAAAGAAAAGAGAGTAAATAAAAAGGAAGAGAAAGCATTGATTTTTATTTTTCTTTTCTTTTTCTTTTTCATTTTTAAGAAACTCCACGTATTTCTTATCTTTTTTGCTTTGATAACGTTGACAGTAATGAATTCTTCATGCCACAATCTAGTTAGTATCTCTTAGGTAGTATTTCTTAGTTACTATAACCTGACATTTATTTTCCTTCTAATAGGAAGGTAAGGATACTTATCCTTGACAAAGCAGTGGAGAGAGGGTTGGGTGGATGGTTTGGTTGTTTTTTTTTGGATATTGTGTGGATGTGGATATTGTATGCCTTCTGTTTTTTTTTTGTTTGTTTGTTTGTTTTTTCCCAAAGAGCTTAAACCTTTCACATATACTTGGTCATGACAGCATTGCAGTTGGCTGCAGAGCCTATCGTTTATCTTAATAAAGCACAGGTTGGCACATGTATTCTTTGTGAATTAAACCAGGGAGTAAAAAAGCTACCAAGGAATTGTCTTACATTTTCTCCTCAGTACAGACCTAATTCCTTCCTCAAATAGCTAGTTCCTAAAACTGATCTCTTTGAATTCTAAAGATGTGGCATATCCTTTGTACAAATTAAGGGAAAGGTCCCATTTCATCAAAAAGATTTCACCCAAACTGATAAATTATATTTTTGGTAACTTTATAATGTTCTGAACAGCTTCATAATTGTTGGTCATCATATTTAAATCAGTAATCATATTTAAATCTAATTAAAAGACTTTGTGTTTGGTCAGAATTATCCTGTACTGGATTAGTTTTAACATCAAAATATAATAGAGTTCAATGACAAATCCCATGGTATTTGTCATATTTCATATTTGGAAATAGAATTCATACGCAAAAATATTTTATCTGTATGCTTAATAGATAAAAAGCTTAAATTATTTCCTGTTCTGTATTTAAATACTCTAATTCTGATTTGTGACCTTGTGTACAGTAATACTGTATATGCTAGATTCTAACTAAACTTGGCTTCACATGGAGCTAATGAATTGGCTTAATTGTGTGTAGCAGTGTTGTGCAGATAATCAGCATGCATTTCATAAGCTTCCATAAGCCTGTAAATTTGATGTCTGAAGCTATAGGAAGTAACTAAGACTGCTTTTGGGAACTTTGTTGTTACGTGGTCTTGTAATTTTTTGTACCGGATTTAATGATAAGCCTGTGTGGTGGGCAGTGAGAGACACTGATACATATTTTTCTGTAATCTTTCATAGATCCAGAGAGGGCTTGTTATCTACATATGCTTCTTCAAAGGTGCTGATCAAGATCTTGTTCCAAAAATTGGTATGATACAACCTTTATAAATTCTTCTATTGCTTGAAAAAGAATTAAGTGATAGAGGCAGAGAAGGCAGCAACTGTTTAGACTAGAAGTCAAAAAGCCATCAAATAGCATCACTCCAAATCAATCAGCTGGCTGAAAGAATAGCTTGTTTGGTCATATTTCATTTGACAGTTGCCTGTATCTCTTTTTCTGGCTGCCTACTCATGATCAACCTGTTAGAATATCAATTCATACAGAATGATAACAGAAAGTGCAACACCTACTGTCTTACATATTACATGTATCAGGCAACAGCTTCAGTCCAGGACAGAACTGAACTTAGAGAAGAATGTTTTCAAGTAATTCACGGCTTGATTTAAGAGGTATTTTAATTTTTATCTCAGGGTACGTGCAGGATATTTAAAAGTATGGCCAGTAGAGGGAGTTGGGTGGATAACTAAACTGTCCTTCCCATCTCATTTCAGAGATACTACATACCCTGTTAGTCTTTCAAGTGCAGTCTTCTGGTTCACAAGTGATAACAGCAATATCTGTATTCTTTCTGTCTTCTCTGCATGCACTTTAACATTTACATTCAAGTGGAGATGATGCTGTGAATAAGGTCAAATGGTTGTGATTTTTGTCTGCCTTCATTCAATGTAGTTTTGACTTGTTTTTTTTGTTTTCAATTTTTTTTTTTTACTTTTATTTCATTTCTTCACCTGGAGAATCCAATGATGATGCATGTTCCACATAAAAATGTCCCTTTTTGTGGCTTGCTGTTAGTGGTAGTTTCACAAAAGGTCATGTAACAATAGTCTATTTCAAGCCACATGCTGGGACCAGCAGAAAGATCTGGCAGTGTGCAAGCACAGGTGCTATTGAAAATGCTGAGAGCAGCTCTTGGTGTTCAAGGGCACAGTCTTTCTGTGATGCTAAACTAAGTTGAAACCTTTGACTGTATTTAAAGCCGCATGATATGAAAATTGATTTTGTGCTCGTGAGAGTTTCTTGTGGGTGATACTTGAGAATAATCACCTTTTCAGCTGTGTGGCAGCTGAAAGAGGCCAGAAAAAGGAAAGTTCTGTTTCCTATTAGGAGATTCATCTCCCACCATCCTCCTTAAGTGTCTGCTAATGGCATATTTTTTCTTAGTATGTTTTGAAACTGTTTAAGTGAGTTTTTTGTTGTCATTTAGACTTCCATGAGATGACTAGTACCCTTACGGGTTTTACAGTTGGAGGACACTTAGGCGGATTTATTTGATTTGTTGTAGAAACGCTGGAAAATATGATGCTAGTAAATGCAAGAAGTCTGTCTACAAGTTTGCACATTGCAGTTTATGGGTTAAATTGCATCTTTGACCTTCCTGCCTGCCTCCTCTCTCAAAAGACAAGCTGACAGCTGCAGGTCTCCAAGTGGAAGGCTGAAGAGCGCTCATTCCACATGAGACCAAAATGCTGAGCCTGGGGCTTCAGCAGTATCAGTTAGGTGTTGGATCCTGCTGCAAACTACTCCATCCAGAAGGAAAAGAAAGTCAGGACAGAAACACCTCCAGAGTGCACCAAAGATGGTCTTATCTCCTACCATGTATAGAGTTCTGTAAATGTTTCCTGACTACCACACAACTAATTTAGGGTCACTGATTGGATCCCGGGCTCCTTTGGGGAGCTCCAACTACAAAAAACTATATGATTTCAGACAGTCAGCCACTGTCCCCCTGAAATAACTCTTTAGATGTATTATATTCATATAAATGTCCTTTGTATTCTTCACAATACTCTGACATCTTAGCTGGTTAATAGTATTTTTCGATTGTTCATGTTTCTGTTTTGTTAGCTTCTTTTACTTCAATCATTTGTCCTATCTTTTGGTATCTTGATGAATCTTAAATGTTGTTTTATTGGTATATTAGGTCCAGGTTAATTTACTTTAGTTCCACTAATTTTTGTTTTATTTTAATTTGCAGTCAACACGCTGTTGAATGTTAAATTAAGTGAAAATGAAAGTGGAGAGTACGTATCTCTCCTTGACTTACCAGGCAACGTGCTCATCATACCACAGGCTACCCTGGGTGGTAAACTGAAGGGAAGAAAGATGCAGTACCATGCAAACATAGAAAAAGAAAAAGGGCTGGAACTTTATTCTCAGTTTGTGACTTTATGTGAAAAGGAACTGGCTGCCAATGCCAAATGCATGGAGGCAGGTGTTCTCGTCAAGTATGGCACATATGGGAACAGACAGGTGTTAAAACTGGATACAAATGGACCTTACACTCATTTGGTTGAACTCTGAAAAAAATAAATGATATCCTGGATACAGTACTGGCTGTAACTGTTGTCTTTTTTTTTTCAAAATATTAATGTAGTTAAATGGTTTGGGAGATACACTGTAAGAAGGACGTTGACTCATCTGTGCTGGTGTTACTAATCCCATTAAATAGAAGGATGCCTTAGACTGCTTTGCAATAATGAGCATGTGTTTTATCTATATACTCATCTGAAGTATTGTTAAAATAATTGTTAAGATTGATCCAATGAAAATGTCTCATTTGGAAGGCTTTTTGGCTTTTTTTTTTTTTTTTTTTTTTTTTTGAAGGAACTTTACTAGTAAGGTCGTGCATACGTTTGTTACTTCAAAATAATGACAAAATATTACTGTATTCGCTGTGGTAAAGTACACTTGAGGAAGTGAAGTTTATGGATTAAAAAGAAAGAATGCTGTAGCTGTAATTATTTGTTACCCAGTTTCCTGAGTCAGACACTTAATTATTGCCTTCCTGCTTTCCATCTATAAGAGAGAAATGCTTTCTAGCTCACAAAGATAGCGAAAGCACAAATTCACTGAATTTTTAGCCTTTCAGATAGTAGCTACTAAATATCAAAGGCTATCCCCTCCCACCCAGCACATGTAGAGGCAGGACTTTCAGGTAGCACTAGGGCTAAACATAGGACTGAATAAGACAGCCTGTACAGACCTGGCAGTAAGAAAGAGTGAGGCACATGCAGAAACTAAAGTCAGGGCAGTACCACTGAATTGCTTTCTGAAAGTTTGTACTCTGAATGTCCTCAGATGTGCTTTTGAAGGGCTGCTTGCTATAACTTGTTCTGTGTCCTTGTTACCTTCATCTTGTTGTCTATTCAATTCTTTCATAAGAGAGCCTCAGGAAAAGGAATGGAATTTTAAAACGAAGACAAAAATAAAAATGTTACAACGTATGCCATCATCTCATTGTTCTTTCTGCCTGTGCTATTTCCTTTCACCTTTTTACATACTGAATCTGAGGCAGAGAAAAGCTTGTATTTCTTATATACACTGTGCTAGCCCATTTGGGGTCCTAGTCCCAGCTGATCCCTTATGCAGTATTGTAATGAACATTATTAACAGATGGCATTAAGATAGCAATGGCAAATTCTATGTCACAAGGCAGTGAGAACAAAATGGTTACATTAACATGTGGCACGTTCAAAACTGATTCAAGTGCATTTAACCTGAGTTTCTCCTTTGATGCTGCATCACATTTTTTTAAGTCAGTAATTTAAAAAGTTTCAAAGTGAAATCAGACATCTATATTGTTTACAGCAATTATCCAGAATTCCAATTTAAAAAAATTATTCTGGAAAAGATGTAAAACCTCATGCTTAGTGTGCATGCCTGTTTGTGCATCGTGGATCAGTATTTACAAGTATTTTGGCCTTATCCTTATTTTTAATAAAACATAACTGAAGGTGTAATCTGCAAGCTCAAGCTATACTAAGAGAAGGACATTCTCTGAACAGATATAAAGCTCATAGTTTTGATACAAGAGTAATAGGATTTTTCAGATTAATGTGAGGTGTACAGTTAGTAATTCTGAAATACTTAAGGATGTTCAGTTCCTGGCACTGGGTATTCTCACAGTTGAAAACATCTATTCACATAAATGGGCTGGAAATATTAGCTAGGTCCCAGATTACATATTTATTCATTAATAATTAACACTTATGACAGACACAATACGAATTGTATTATAAATTCTTCTTAGAGGCATTTAAATAAGATTGTCCTGATATGAATAACTAATATAAATTCTTTATGATATTCGTCTGTTTGAGAGAACTGTTTTTATTCCTCTTTCTGTTGTGGGCCAAATCCTAAAAACTGCTGACTAACACCACTATTTACTTTACAGGAATTGCAGTTATTCGGTGTATCTCAATAACTGATCCTTTGAAGTATAATACAAAGCCTGCAGATATTTTTTTTTATTGGCTCCAGAAAGATCTTTGGCAGCCTGAAAATTCATTCTCTGTATTTCAAGAACTCTGCAATTTCTAAGAGGGGTGAGCTTGCAAATGTTTAGTGAAAAACAGACTTCAGACCACACTCCATCTTGGACTGATGTCTCATATAAAACACATGAAATTTGATATGTATTTTCAGTAGTTCTTAGGAGACAAGAGAAATCCTGAGTTTCTGTTAAAAGGTGGCATCTTTATGTATTATCTGCTGGTTTCTGATTTAGTGTATCCATCTTGGGATACTGATTTCTGCCATCTTCTGCAACAACAATTGGCAGCTTGTTGAATGATGTGCCCTTTGTACTGCTTTATTTATATCTACTATTGATTCACGCTCCATTTACTGAAAGAAGCCATTTCTGAACAGGATGGACCATACTGATGAAGAAATTGATTAAAATTATTTTTTCAAAGCCAAATGCTCATTACTTTCTGACATGAATATACACGTTAAACAGATGACATGGCACACTTCTTTAAACAGTCTTTATTCTATGACTAGGCAAAAGCTCAAACAACTATCCTGTTCTTCACTTGGAGAATGTTTATTCTGTAAGATGTTTAATATTTCACACTTCCTCAAAATAAACTGTGAAAGGAGTAGTCGTTATGCTATTCTAGCATGGCCTCCCAGTTCATCAGAAACTGTGCTGTCAGGTTTTTATGACCTTGTTTGCAGTGTGCACACCCAGATTGTGTGAGCTGAGCATGCATGGACTATGGACTGCTCTTATAAAACTAATGAGTTGAGGTTGCAGTAGTTCGTTTTTGAGTCAGCACTATTCCTGCTTCCTTCCTGTGCCCTTTGTGGAAATCCTTACCTCTACTGTTACACACAGTATGCAACATAAAAATACTAGTCCAGAATTGCAAAGTAATAAACATCCATATTTAGTACAATTAAACAGACCCTTCATTTTCTTTGTATTATCTGGGAATCTTTAGCATTTTACCTGCTTTAAGCAAGTGTCCATGAATCTCTTCTCCTAGTATTAATTGACCAACTTTGCTCTAGAAAACAGAGTGACTATGGAGATGTCCATCCACACTTGAAAGCATAGTTTTTGAAAATCTCTGAATTTGGTGCAATAGCTAGCCTAATTTCCTGTTTCTGCAATCTGTCTGTTACTGGGTCCTCTATGATACCATGTAGCCCAGTAATAGAGTATTGCTATTGCTACTAACAGTCCATAAGCTTAGTCCTGATTTTACAGAACCTCTGGATGGAGGTTTATCAGCCATATTTTGCCTGAACTCACTGATCTTGGAGCTTTGGTTTTACTTCATTTTGCTGTAACAATTTTTCTAATGACAGGAGACTATGGCTAATTTGTTTTACTTTGCTTCATATGGTAATAACCTCAGTTTTTATATAGCTATTAATAGTAAGCTATTCTGTGTAGAATTATGTATTTATGACTCTAGCAAAATGTTAAATTGTAGAGTAATAAAGGCCTGTTAGGATAGCAGCAACCTTGGGAAGCGAAGACATCAGCTGCAGTGTGGGGATGTACATGCATGGATGCTAAGATGGATGTGGCACAGACTGGCACCAGAGATGCTAAGGCTATAAACAACTTGCCAAATGGCAATTAAAAAAATGCAGACCTGGAGCTGGACAAAACTAATTTAGGGGTACAGACAAGATCAGCACACGTATCTAACATAAATAAAATGCACTATATGTAGTTGCAATCCAGTGAAGAAAAAGGAAGGTGTAAAAATTCTAGATAACAAGAAAGTTAAACTAATTACTAGAAATTATTTGTAACAATAAGCTATGCTAATCGATAACAAATGTAAGTAACAATAAGCTATGCTGATTGCTACTTTTGTAATTATAAATTATAATTATAACCTCAACCCTGTGGCCAGGCTTCACTCTACTAAGGATCCCTAAAAGAACCTGACTGACCCATAATGTTGGATGGCAAAAAAAAAATAATTTGAAAGCTTGTAAAAACAAACCCAGGTTAATCCAAAAGAGGGAAAAGGAGAGAAAGAAGAAACCATAAACACCAAGTTCTCAGTCCTGTGGCACAACGTGCTCTGGATGAGCATGGTTCACTGCACACTCTCATCTCCTCCTGGAAGTCTTGAGAACCACATGAGTGGTGAAAGCATATGTGTAACACCAGGTAGATCATAGGTAGCACGTGTATAACAATTTTAACTGCATTGTTATTACTGAGACTATGTGACTGTATTGCGCATTTTCTCCTTAAACCAGAGCTGTCCACTGGTTCAATTACTGCCAGTGTGTGGCTTTGGGCAAAGCAATTTTCTGCTCCACTTTTTCCATCTATAAGACAGAGTGAAAACAAGGAAAAAATGTTTAAAAACACTGCTTTTTGCCTCTTACACTAAATGCAAAAAATCACCTCAGTTCCTGTTGTTGCACTGGAATGCAGCATGCACTCACATCTCTTCATTTTTGGTGGAGCTACACAAATTGGCCTTAGCCTCTGCCTTATAAATGTGTCCTGAGCTAATATCCACAGGAGTACCTCAGTGAACTGTGTGGTATCACTACAAACAACTCTATGCTGTTTCTAAAATAGCAACGACCTACTGAGCATGGAAATGCAAAAAAATGGTTTTCCTATCACACTGATCTAACATATATATATATATATATGTTGTTCATATATATATGAAACGTATATATGTTTCTGCATGTCT